CCCCAGGCCCACGGCACAAGGGGCTCAGGCGGCCCCGCCCCCGGGCGCCGGTGTGGCCCCGCCCCCGGGTTATGTTCCGAACACTTGGTCGTAACTTGATTTGGTCATAAGTCAGAAATACCCTTAAGTGCACTGTTTGAAAAACTTGACGTACATGGCTCTCAACTCAAAAATATTATAACAGGGTTAATGGGAGGTTGGTCATAAGTACTGATGGTCGTAAGTCGGCAGTGGCTGTAATCTATCTTTCTCACAATAGCAGCGTGACCTAAGGGTCAGGTTTTTTCCAGCCTTCTGTCCACTGGATCAGACACAACTCTCGTTCCCAAGACAAGAAGCTGTGTGCTCAGGTCCTCGTGCATTCTGGTGGCTTTTTTTTTTTTTTTTTTTAAATACTTGGTTGCATTGAACTGCAGTGCTATATACCTGCCTAGTTCCTCTTCCTGAGTAGTGATCTTTGTTATGGGGTCAGTTTTCATCTACAGTCAAACCCTAGTGTATAGGAGGAGAGTCTTGGATCTGATTCCACAGTGTGGAGGGCGCTCCTGTTCAGTGTCCATTAAGCAGAAGTGTATGGTCTGATCCATTGGCATCAGTGGCAACATTTCCTTTGACTTCAGTGAGATCAGGGAAGATGTTAAGGCAAAGGTATTCTTAAACTAGTGTGATAGTGAGAGGGTCCCAGCACATCTGCGTTGAGCAGGATCTTGTGGGGAAAGTGGGATGTGCACATGCTGGTGACATATCTGCAGAGGGGTGTGGCTCTTGATTGCTTTGGACATGACTCCTCCTGCTCTGTCTGCCCATGCAGTTCCTGAGAGTGACGAAGCAGTACCTTCCCCACGTGGCACGGCTATGCCTGATCAGCACCTTCCTGGAGGATGGTATTCGCATGTGGTTCCAGTGGAGTGAGCAGAGGGATTACATTGATAGCACATGGAACTGTGGCTATTTCCTGGCCTCCATTTTTGTGTTCCTAAATCTCTTCGGACAGCTGAGTAAGTGGCTCTTGAATGCCTTGTAAGGCAAATGCCAAAGCATGCTAGTGTTTCTGGCTTGTGTTGGCACGGGAAACCTGTTTTATTTTTCTTGGTGCATCAAGCGCTTGTTTGATGATGCTTCATAGGTTAGTTAAAGGCTTTCCATTGACCTCTCCTTGAGTTTGAGTCCACATGGTACCTCTTGGTCAATGAAAACTCTGAGGGAGTCCCTTAGTCCAGGGGTGGGGAACCTTTTTCAAGTCTAGGGCTGCTAACCCACTGAACAGGGGTGGGGAACCTTTTTCGAGTCTGGGGCTGCTGACCCACTGACAAATCAGTCGGGGAGGGGAGCACACAAATGGGAAGCAAAAAAAACCTCACTGTGGCCCCCAACTGAGGAGGCAGACTCTTCCTCATGTTGCCCTCACATACCAAAGCCTAGTAGATTTTGTGCACGCCAGCTCTGCACTGGGGGGAGGGTCTGAAGCACCAGCTTAGGCTCCCCAATGCTAGGGGGAGGAGGGTCCTAAGCCCCAGGGGCTGAATTCAGGCAAGCCGGAGGCTGCATCCGGCCCTGGGGCCTGAGGTTCCCCACCTCTGCCTTAGCTGAGAGAATTAAATAGATAATTCTCACTATCCATGTAGCCAGATCTTGATCAGTCATTCTGTAAATAAAATACTTCCTGTAATTTTTTTTTAAGAAAGGGAGAAATTACTCCAGAATGTAAAGATGATCACGGTGCCATGTTTTTCTTGTCTTAGCCCAATATTGGATCTTGTGGAAGCTACTGTGAACTGGGAAAAACATTTTATGCAGGAAGCATTTAAAGTGCAGTAGCACCGTGTTAGTTCGCAAGGATTAGGAAGTGAAACAGACTCGTTTAGCTTCTGAGAGAACTGTGAAAGGTATCATTGGTGAAAGAAAACTAAATTTTTGCCTTGATCAAATAATAAACTTTGATACAGGACTTTGAAGACTAGGAAAGTAGAGAGCGTGTATGACAACTTTAAAAGGGGGAGACACAGTATTAAAAAAAAAAATAATAATTTGCAAAGTCTTTTTCCCCTGTAGATACTAGCTTGCTTGATTGCTTAATAGATTTCTTATAGCCAACAGTTTTCAGCTGGGAAATGCAATCAGTTTTCTACTGAATGCAAGATTTAATGGAAAGCTGCTGTTTTATATCCTGTAGTCTTGAAAGAACTATGGTATTCTCCCATCACCAACCTTAGAAAGGCAACCTCCAAGCCATACTTGGCTGTGGGTTTTTTTTTTTTAAATTTCTTGTGACATTAAGCTAAAGGCAACCTCCAAGCCATACTTGGCTGTGTGGTTTTTTTGTTTTTTGTTTTTGTTGTGACATTAAGCCTATGTCTGTACCACAATAGAGCTGAAGTCAGTTGACCTTGGGTTCTGGTTGCAAGGCTAAAAGCAGCTGTATAGACAGGGTGTGAGACCCACCTGCTCACCTTGTAGAGTTTGAAAGAGTGGGCCCAGCCTGAGCCCATAGGTCCACATTATAAGTCTCAGCCACGGGAGCTGGAGTTAGCTGACCAGGACCAGCTCCAGGTCTCTTATTGCAGAGCAGTTGTACCCTTATGAGACAGCTGCCAACTAGGATGATGTGCCGGGGACTAAACAACACACACGTTTGCTCCCTTGCTACATCCCCTGGTGGAATAACGGGAGGGAGGTTCTTCGGGAGCAATAAGACAATGTCTCACTATAGAGAAGCTCTTTGGAGAATGCAGATTTTAAAGCTGACTTCCCCTCCCCGGAACCAAATGTTTTGACCCGCAATATCTCCTAGCAGAGGCTCTAGCCTCTGTGACTTGGCTAAATGGTGTCCTTACCCTGCTGAAATTCAAACAAACCCAGCTGTTTCCTGTATGAGCTGGAGATGGGGTAATGCTCTTTTATTTCCTTCCCTCAGGTGGCTGTATCCTGGTGCTGAGTAGGAACTTTGTGCAATATGCCTGTTTCGGGTTGTTTGGAATTATAGCATTACAGGTAGGAAACCCCAAGTTTTCCAAAGTCTAATCCCTATCTTGCAGGCCCTCCCCACCAACCCCTATGGGACTGATCTAAGATGAAAGCCCTTCCCAATGAGCCAGTGGCCCTCCCTTAATTGGCCATGATCTCTTATGGCAACATGGTTACAGCTGTTCTTCCTCCAATATGCACCGCGGCCAGGTATTCTCCTTGGATGCTGATGCAGATTAGGGATGTGAATGGGTAACCAGTTATCATCACTAGTGATGGTAAAATGCCTTATTTGTGTAAATGTGTAACTGCTGAAATTTTTGCAGTTACATATTTGGGGTGGGGGGGAGAGGAGGCAGGAGCTGGCTCCTGTTTCTCCCCTCCCCCCTCGTTGCCTCTGTATCAGGAAGCAGTGGGGGGAGGAAGGGGCAAGTGGCTCTGCAGGATCCCATACGGCTGCCTCTGTATTAGAGGCAGCAGCATGTGGGGCAGGCAGCTCTCCACTGCGCTGGCTCCCTTCTCCCCTGCTGCCCCATTGGTTAACCATGTACTCAGGTACACATTCATATCCCTAACATCACCCTAAGTGGGTGATACTTATCAGTAACTGGTTAACTGGTGCCTGGGAGCAGCCCCTGGCCACGGCCTGCTGAGGGCTGTTTCAGCCAGACTGGAGCAGCCCCTCACCCACAGGATCTTGCTTAATTGGTTAACCCAGCGGTTCTCAAACTTTTTGGGCTCCGGAGCTCTTTACATGCGTAAAAAAATTACACGGCGCCCCAGTGATCCTCTGATTGTATGTGTTGTACCTATCGATGTTTCCAGTTTGTCAACCTCGCGGAGCCCCTGGAGATGTCTGTGCTCCATGGAGCACAGTTTGAGAGACACTGGGTTAATCAGTTAAACCTAATGTTTAACCAGTTAACTGATTAAATGGGATTTTACATCCCTAATGCAGACAGGATCAGCCAGCTGTAAGGGCTTGGAAAAACTAGTGTTTAACCAATTGTGTGCCATATAGTAGGAGGAGGGGGTTTCTTTTGCAGCTCAGTGGCTGTCTCTACACTACAGGCTTCTTGCGGAAGAACTGTTTTGCACAAGAGTTTCTGTGCAAAAATTCTTGTGCAAGATCGCATCCACACTGCCATGGGCTTTTGTGCAAGAGTGTCCATGGCAGTGTGGATGCTCTCTTGCGCAAGAAAGCTCTGATGGCCAATTTAGCTATAGGGATTTCTTGCACAAGAAACTCCTCTTGCCCATCCATGCTGCCTCTTTGCACAAGAGGGCTTATTCCTCATGGGAGGAGGAATAACTCTTGCACAAGAAGCCCTCTCTTCTGATGCTTTACTGTAAATGTACTTGCACAAGAACACACATGCAGTGTATACGCTCCGCAAGTTTTTGCGCAAGAAGCCTGCAGTGTAGACATAGCCAGTGAGTATCAGCAGCCTACTGCAGAAGGGACATATAACTACTTTGGTCTTGACCCCACAGGGATTGCTACAAGAATATCCCACAGTGGGAGGATCCCCATTTAATGTAAAACAACCGCCTCAAAAAAACTTATTTTGCACAGGAAAGTTTTTGTTAACACTTTAGACTTTATCTAAAGCAGAATACTAGGAGCTAGGGCTTCTGGATTGTTTCCAAATTTGCCACTGGCAAGTTGTGTAATCTCGGATTATTGTCGTCATGCCAAACCGCTTGCTAAACAAGTACCTTAAGACATGATTAAGTTCTGCACTTAATGAACAGTCCTAAATGCTCTTTCTTCCCTTCTCAAGGAGGCAGAAATGGACTAAGTATTTTTTTCTCCCTTCCCAGACCATTGCTTACAGCATTCTATGGGATCTGAAGTTCTTGATGAGGTAGGTCCTAGTTAATGTCACATCTCTATGCTAGCTGCACAAACATGCTTTTGTGAATCCCATCCAGGGACAGGAATGAAGTGCGCTTTATGATGATCACACTTCAGGTTGTGTCTACGTGAATCTTTAGTCAATACATATGTCCGCACAAAGCTACTGCAATCAATATATGGCTTGTGAACGTGTATGCTTGGCTCCTTGTGTCAATACTGTACATATTGGCCAGGAATATGTCAGTGTGTAGTGCACCATGGGTAGATATGAATGTTCCCTCTAATTGTCCATCCATGTGTGGAATAAATTGTATGGACACCAATGCATGAGCACCACTAGTAGAGAAACATGCTCCCAGCTGCTGCCATGTGTGAATGTTCTGCTAATCAGCTGGGCCGTGTTTGAATTTCTCCTGGGTAGCTACAGCAGGGAACAGTGGTAGATATCCCATTGTGCAGCCTGCCACCATCCAGTGCACTTTGGGGGAAGTTTTGGCAATGTATGGTGAGGCAGAAAGGAGTCATGAGGGGTGATTTGTGAGCAAGGAGTCAACTCCCCAGGGTGAGAGACTATCCTATATATTTGCTCCTGTTTTTAAAAAAATGCCACAAAATGCATGCAGCCTTCCTTGCTGTCTGCAATCTTTGATAAATGCCTGGAGCTTGCACAGCTCTGCACTGTGGTTCTAAGTGTTGCAAGCCCCGAAGGCCAGATCCCCTTGGATCTCAGTCAGAAGACCTACTGAATCAGTGGGGAACAGGACTTCTTGCAGGGCAGATTGCTGTGGGATGTAGTGAGAACCCATTCAGGGTTGCTGGGGGCATTCTCACTCTTTCAGGCAGCATGATCTTTGTGACTCGTAGAGCTTGCTGGATGGTATGGCTTTTATTTTTCTTGCACTGACATGAGGATTTTTCTTCTCTTTGCCTTCCCTCCCCCCATCTCTCCCTTCCCCAGGAACCTTGCCCTTGGAGGAGGCTTGCTGCTGCTTTTGGCTGAGTCACGGTCAGAGGGGAAAAGCATGTTTGCCGGGGTCCCCACCATGCGGGAAAGCTCCCCCAAACAGTACATGCAGCTGGGTGGCCGTGTGCTGCTGGTCCTCATGTTCATGACACTGCTACATTTTGATGTTAGCTTCTTTTCGGTAAGTATCTGGCACAGAACTGAG